ACAGAAATTGCTGCTAATGTTGCTGCCATTGCTTGATCCAAAGCAGATTTGGAATCTTCGGCTGGAATGATATTAACATTCACCCATTGAGCAAATATGATGACTATCCTTTATTAAATGTAAATTTACCTGATGCTTGTGTAGTAACAGCACTGGATGTAGTAACGGGAGCTATCACAGAAGGTGTAGGGGAAGTGGAATTCAAACTCCTAGAACTATCAATGCTCTGTTTTGAACTTATATTAGGCAAATTCAGCAATGTCTACAAAAGCAAAGCCGATATTAAGAAAAGATATTGACTGTCTGTACTCACTCATTAGAATGTCTTGCCTTAATTTCAGCTAATTCTGGAGGAATAACCCATCTGGATTCTTTTGTATTTACATTATGATAGTAAACCTTGCCTTGATCGGAATGATACTCTTTCCATGGGCATGATGACAAAAGTTTCTGAAACATCATGAGAAAAATATAATACAATTTAGTTTAAAATTGTTTTACGAATTAAAATTTATCAAACCTCCGCAGGAGTTTTTAGTTCATCTGGTTTCTCCCATGAACTTTGTTTTGTAATTGAATTATAATAGTATACCCTGCAAGTAAAATTAAGGGATTTTTATATTGGATACTTCATTTAATATAGTACTAATTTAAATTGTCCTACCTGCCATCAGGAGCTTTATGTTCTGTCCAAGGAGTAGGTACTGCGGGCTCTACTGGTGGTACTTTAGGTACAGAATCTGCCAGTGGCAAAGCAACATGGTTTTCCTGTACAGAAATTGTATATATTGAAATACCAGTCAATAACGGTGCAGGTAATTTATGTCATGATACAATTCATATAAAAAATTTGTCATCTACATGACTAAAAGCAAGTTTAATTTGTACAATTATTTTTATTAGTGAAAGTATTTAAGAGCTAGATCATTATTAATATGCAAATTTCTTATATTACACTTACCGGTTTAATTACAGGAAAACCAGGTGGAGGGATGTTAAATTGTGGCACCATGGTGGGAAACATAGGTGGCGCCATGGCTGGCATTGGGATCAGGGTGCTGCCTGATTTGCAACTGGTCGAGCCCCAATCATTGCAGATCCAGCAGGAATCATGGGGGTCACTCCAGGCATTGCTTGAGCTACTACCGGAGCATTTGTAGGCAATATTGACGGATTAGGTGACAGCATAGGTGTTCCAATAAGCGGTGGAGTTCCAATTAATTGTCCAGGATATTTAGAGTTGTTGACGGCTTCCTGAAATGGTTCACTAACGTCACAAATATAGAACGAGAGTTTCTGATGTTTTATCGTATTGAAAAAGTACTTTAACTGAAACCCTAAACGATAGTTTACAGAATTTAACCTCAACTTAAATCTGCACTTCAAAAAATGGCACGTACCATTAAATTTGTTCATACTATTTAAGAACCGCACAATTATTATAAATTCTACAACATTATTCATTTATTAACATAAGTTTGCAATCAAAATTAAAAAAAATATTAATATTCACAAAGATGAAAAAATATCATTTTAATATTATTTGACGGCTGTCGGCTTTCTCTCTATCGTGTTAACCAATTATACCAACAGAGCGAAAAAGTAACTGGGATGAATATCTGAAAGAGCGCGTTTATTCAAATGCAAAATTGTTTGATCTATTCAATTTATATTGAAAATATTTTATATTTTATTATTTTAAAAGTATGAATTAATCAAAGACT